CTCAGGAGTTTGAGACCAGCCTGAGCAAGAGCAAGACCCCGTCTCTACTAAAAATAGAAAGAAATTAGCTGGACAACTAAAAACATAGAAAAATACAGAAAAAATTAGCCGGGCATAGTGGCGCATGCCTGTAGTCCCAGCTACTCGGGAGGCTGAGGCATTAGGATCGCTTGAGCCCAGGAGTTTGACATTGCTGCAAGCTAGGCTGACGCCACTGTACTCTAGCTTGGGCAACAGAGTAAGACCCTGTCTCAAAAAAAAAAAAGAAAAAGAAAAGAACTTAACTCCTGATTACATCAATTAGCCCATGACAAAACTGGTTTCATTACAAGTCGTTTCGTTTAAAGTCACAGTTTCCAAGAACCTGTCCATGACGGCAAGTGAGGACTTACTATATGCACACAATGGAATATTATTCAGCCTTAAGAGGAAGTAAATCCTGTCACATGCTACAACGTGGAAGAACCTTGAGGACATTGTGCTGAGTGAAATACGTCAGTCGCAAAAGAACAAATACTGTATGATTCCACTTATATGAGGTACCTAGAGCAGTCAAACTTATAGAAACAAAGTAGAAAGGTGGCTGTCGGGTTTAGAGGGAGGAGAAAATGGAGAGTTTAATAGGCACAGAACTTCAGTCTCACAAGATGAAAAAAGTGCTGTGGGCGGGTAGTGGTGACAGTTGCACAATAATGTGAATGTACTTAATGCCAATGAACTATACACTTAAAAACAGTTAAGATGGTAAATTTTATGTGAATTTTACCACAATTTTAAAAACACAGAATAAAGAATAAAAGCAGTGTACTTACCTCTCCATCAGCTGCCAGAGCCATTGAATGATGTGAGCCACAGGCTACTTCAACCACTTGCTTAATCAAGAGATTGGTACACACCTGGATGGGAGCGATGCCTTGGTTGGTGGTCCCATTCCCAAGCTGGCTATATCCATTGTGGCCCCAGGCATAAACCACCCCATCTATACACAAAGAACACAAAGAATCAGCTCTAAGAAATGGTAAGCCCTGTACTTTGTTCCCCAGAACTTTGTTCAATTCATTCTCCAACCTTCATTTCTCTCACGTTGCCCCCTTATCTTTATTACGAAACCACTGATGGGGTAGGGAGAGAGGGATGGATGAGACAACAGGATAGATGGATACAAAACCCTTAAAGAAAGGACTTGGTACTAACATAGATGGAAGATCAGCTTCGTGGTTGGAAGTCAAAATTTATATAAACAAAAATTAGACTTTCTAAACACTTTGATCCATCTCAGCAGCTTGTGTGTCAGGTACCAAGCAAAAGAAAGAAGACGCAGAAAAGCTCAACACTAACGTTTACCATCACTTTACCAAATACCAAGTCTCAGGGAAGCCCTGGGAGGTGTATGTGTCACTCACTCACAAAGTACAGAGGAAAGATGTACACTGTTTGCAAGGGTAGCAAAAATCACAGAGCCTCTCTCAGGCAGACTATTTTAGTGGCAAGAAATCTGGCTTTTTTTTTTTTTTTTTTA